TCCCATGCTTCTTTATTAAAACACAGCTCCTGAATACCTGGCCTGAATGTGAATGAGAGTTACAAAATTATGTTCAGGTTAGTAGTTTTATTGGTTTCATATTAACAGTGCAAAATACATCCAGCACCTCTTCTTTGTATATTTTTCCTCTGCTGAAGGAAAATAATTTTCTTAGTTATCTGTCTTCAGAAGCTGGATGGGAACAGTAAGAATAGTGTCACCTCGCTCCACCGGTGCTATCTGATAATCAGGATGGGGCACAAGCGGTATGGTATTTGTTGTACAGAAGACGACCTGTGGCTACATTCCTTTTTGTGCCTTATAACCTATTGTCTGTAAAAAAAAAAAAATCTTATGCAAAAACTAACTATGAATTGAAAGAACCTGCATATATTGGAAGTGGACTGAATATTCTCCTAATAGAGCCTGCAAGGACTAGGCTTTTCTTTTAGATATCTCACTTCTTCAGAATGGGATCTCTCAAGCTGGTGTTTGAATGCAGGATTTCCTACAGATCTTCTGCAAAATGACTTTATGGGAGAGAAAACACTACTGAGCAAGAGGAAGAAATGTGAGTGACAAATTCCATTTGTTAGATGTTTCTCAGAACAGATCTGCTACAAGAAAATTAATGAATTTTACTTTTTGTATTTTGTAAACACCTCCTAAAGCTGAGCCCACCAAAATTCCTCCATTTCTTCTATAAGTACCTGTTGTTTGAAAGGTGTTGTGATTAAGCTGTGATTTGGAAAAACATGGCTTTACAATACATTCATTTCACTTATCTCTCTCCCTGGGCTTTCCACCTAGGTTTATTCTGTTTATAGCAAACAACCAATGTTGAAAAAAGAAAAAAAAGAGTGAAAAAGTCATCAGTTTGTATTGTATTTTCTTAACATTACACAAAGGAAGAGAAATAGATTGAATCTCAGCTGACAAACAGATGTATAAAACACATGCATTTTCAAAGTCCATCTCACTGAAGAGCTATTGCCTCCTTATCCACAAGTAATCTCATCCTCTGCAGCTGGCAGTAGAGGCATCTGCACTCTCACTAGCCTCAGAAAAAATCAGCTCTGTTTCTTACTCTCTCTCCCTGTCTCTTCTAAATTCAGCAATATGGGACATATTATTAAAGCACACCTAACAAAGAAGACAAGTATTTTTAAAAGTCTGACAAACTTATTAGCTGCTCTGATGGATTTTTCTACCACTGTATGTTTAAAGGACAGACCAGATATTATTATGAAAGATATGTACAATTACATTGTAATATGAAAACAAGAATTAATTCAAATAATGTATCCTATGTGAGACAGTTACAAAATAATTATGGTCTCTCTTGGCCATATGATACTATCACTTGTCTTAAAAGATGCTGTAAGAGCTGTGTCTTACAAAATGAATTTTGAATTTTAGGGTTCAGACTGATGACCAATTACAAATCTGCATGCTGTATTATGTGGAACTTATCAAGGGCTAAACTTTTACATGCAGATTGTTGCTACGAATCAGCTGTCATGAAATAGCTGGGTGAATGCTCAGTAACTGTATTATCAATCTAATCATCTAGAGAGAATAATAACAGTTTTGTTGAGGGGATAATTGTGCATCATTATTATTAAGAACCAAATGCTAAATATGGAGAGCAAATGTGGATAATTAAAAGTTGTTGGCATTTTATTTTTTTTTTTCTAAGTATTATACATCTTTTGCTACAAAGTGGGATGAATATGAGCTGGCTCTTAGGTTGTCCTTTTTGCAGTACACAGTTTTTTGTACTTCTTGACCTGCCTGGTCTTTCTAGGTCTGAATCTTTGTGCATGAAGTTAATTTGATGCGTTGTCAGTAGTTTTTGCTTTGGTGGAGTTTTACCACAACTGTTGTCTCAGATGGTACAGTCTTCCAGGCATTCTGGCTATTTGCACAACTTCTTTTTGATTCTAACCCTACATGAACATGAACACTACATACATGAAGAGGAAACAAAGTCCAGAGAACTGTCTTGCTCAAGTTGAATATGGACCCAAAACTCCAGAAATGTGGAAATAACCCCTGTGGAGAGAAGCATCCTGTGCCCCCACAGGCTAACATTCAGCGTTCAGCACAGTTAAGAGACGTTTCCACCTTCCCTAAGGATTTTTTCTCACCTCTAAGAGATAAAGGAAGACAATGTGTATCTTAAATTCAGCTTTGTATTCTAGCCCAAAATTATGACATTGAATTCAGATATTCTTACCTGATCATGTACTTGATGAAATTTTGCTCCTGGTTGCTACCATTAGAGACTTGCATTAAAGAGGTTACTGTTAATTTGGTGCCAAATTATGCCCCTGCCTTGCACAGGGAGTAAAGGATCGAGGATTTTTCTTCTTTGCTGTGCACTTTGCATAGAAAGAAGGAGAAATGGAATTTCCTTTACGAAGGGAGTATAGGAGCTCTTCTCTCTCTGCATTCGAGACACAAACTACAACAACAAGAGGTGGGGGCTGCTTCTTCCTGTAGGTGACTGCTTTCTGAGAGAGCAGAAACAGTGCACCATCTTAAGAAATACTTTTCCTTTGTGGGATCTCTCACAGAAAGGCTGCACACACATGCAGAGCTCAACAAACTGTATCAGTCTTGAGCTCTTAGGCTGATACACTTCATGTTCCCTTCTTCCCCCAAAAGAATTAACAATGGAAAAACACCAAGGAGTCATTAGCTTAGGCACGACTAAATTAAAAAAGTATAATTGGTTCTTACAGGTAGTGTAATGAAAATATGGAAACATCTCTGTCGCAGAAGGGAGATGAATGAAAGGCTGGTGTGCAGGACCAAGTCATCTCTAGGCAACCTAAACTAATTTAGATCAGTGTTTTGGCCAACTCTGGCTGCAAGTGACATTAAAGACACCCATGTGTTAGCGTAGTTGAGGCTGAGTCAGCATGTCTTCTGCGAATATTTACTGTATTTTGCAGCTGTCAGTCTGGGTTTAAAGCTTTAAGCTGTTTAAAGTACAGGTCTTGGCACAGGAGCTCATCATCTGAACAAATGAACCCCTCAGTTACTGTGGGACTAGGATGAGCATCTCTCTGACTCAGTACCAAGGAGGTGTCCTGGGCCCCTCCTCAGAGCATGGCACTCTAACCTCTGGCTGAAGCCCTCATTTGTACTGGAGGAGTAAAAGGCAAAAGTAACACAGAGTCGGGGACTAATTTTTATGTTTTCTGTCTCTAACATTACGAATTTGCAAAAAAAATTATTCAAGTATATTACAGGTAAACTTCTGGGAAGTTCTGGGAAGAGGCTAAGTCTATTTGCTTAGATTAGATTTCCCAAGAGGAATCCAGTTTAGTGACAAAGTCACATACAATGGCTATGTAGAGGCAATGTGGATTTACACTAGCCATCAATCTGCTCATGTGGAAACAAATGCAAACCCAAAACATAAACATACAGCTTCCTCCTAGGTAGGCATCCCCAAATATGCTAAGATTGCCAACAAAGTTCTTAAGATCATGACAAGAACTACAAAAGTGGGATTTATTATTTTGTGGCAATTAGTATTAATATAATTGCAACTGCTGTCTTTTATTTGCTTCCTGGATTTTTATACCTTTAAGTTTGCTCCTCAGTCATGATGGTATGCAACTTATTTTAGAATCTTAAAGCTGAGATTTTCAGGTAATCACTTCATTATGAGAGTTAAAGCCTCAAAAAAACCCAACTCATTAAGACAAGTTACAAAGTAGCGTAATGACAGGTGATAACAGAAGTGTGACTGAATTTGATAATGAGTTTGGACATTTCAAAGCATGCAAATCAAGAGACACACCACCCCCCCCCCCCCCCATTTGACCAGAATTTAGCGTGTTTTTCAATAATTTTGAGTTAGTAGAAAGTAGAAAAGGCAAGCAGTTAAGTCAAAGTATACTCAAGCAAACCAAAGTTACTTTATGCTATAGAAACTGAGACATATGTCAATCCTGTTTACGCTAATTCATTGAGTTTCTCTATTCATAACTGACCTGCTTCCTTTGTCTGCTAACTTTAATTTGCACTTCAGAATTTGAAGTAGTTTTTTGATCTGCAGTTAATACAACTAATAACTACATGGTAGAATAACCCTTGAATATCTATTTTGCATGGAATTTTTTGTCTACAGTTTATGCTCTTGGTAGCATGAAGCATGGCATTGTGAACAAAGAAAAGTGAGAATGAAGAGACATAAAGAATATAGAGTTCTGAAGGAAAACAGGGAGTGAGAATGTTAGGAAACTTACAAAAGTTTTATAGAAATAAGCTAAAAGGAAAATGGTGCATCAAAAGTGAACTTCAGACTTAGAAGTAAAATACAGATACTTACTTTTAGTATATATATATAATGGTCTACATTTTATAAAAGAATGGTACATTTTTCAGAATGTGTCTCATTTAAAAAGAAGTTTTTAGAAGTAGGAGTTAATAATTTTAATATATAAACCATATAACTGTTTAAACAACTATAAGACTATGAAGACAATAGCTTGCAATACACAAATTAGTGTAGTGATCTATAACTAACCTAAAAATATGACATTTTTCTATTTTATGAATTTGATTTTATTTCTGTTATTGAAGTATCACAAAATTTTTATATTAAAAGAAACTATCAATTATTTGTTCAAGGGCTTAGACAAGTGATATAGACAATATTTGAAATGGTTTCTGGCTGAAAGATGAGTGAAAACAAAATAATAAACCAGCTGCCTTTCAATGCAACATTTAACTACTACATGTCTTTTAGTATAAATTTTGGTCAGTCAATAGCGGCAAAACATACTTCTTAATATTTTTTAAGAAGGAAACTATCCACAACTGCTGACTTTATTGACTAATAACTACTTTTTCTTAGCTTAGATATAATAAAATATCCATACTGTTGAGACAGGATGTTTATGCTCAACACAATTTCATAAATTGTATTGTATGGCATTGAATATATTAATATCCACTGAAATATACATATTCCTACTTACCCAACAGAGAGGAAAGGCTCCTTTGATTCAAGTCTGTCAAGTAAATAACAGAAGTTTTAAATCCATATATGTATATATTTTATTTCAGAACATTTGTACAATGAATTTAAAACAGCCACTCTCAGTATCAAATTTATTTGGGGAACAATACACAATTTAACAACAACAGAAGGGCCTGTACCATTATGCTAGGAGCTTGAAAAAAATCCCATTTACCTAACTGAACTTTCATTTAGAAATGAAATATTTACAAAGTAGCACATCTAGGCCCTTTAAATTTCACAGATTCATATGACTTGTGTAGGTATTTACATGAAACGGCTAGAGTGAACAAGTAATACTTTTCCTTTTTTTTGCAATTTTAATGTAATTTTTTTTTTTTTCATGGCCATGATTTAGAAAAGATATGGAATTATTTTTTTTCTTGTGTAGGTATTTACATGGAATGGCTAGAGTGAACAAGTAATACTTTTCCTTTTTTTGCATTTTTAATGTAATTTTTTTTTTCATGGCCATGATTTAGGGAAGATATGGAATTAATTTTTTTTTTTTAACTTAAAATTTAGTATGGGTGTAAGAACTTTCCTGATTTGAGGGCTTCCACACCCATATTGTTTTCTTTCCAGCATCCTGTATTCACATAACATGGTCACTTCTTTGTCGTCAGAACTTCTGGCACATCTGCCACAATCAGCCTTGCACAGGAGCTGGATCCACTGGATTGGTAAACCCTGAATCATGCTCAGTTCTAAAACCAGTAGTTAAAAGTGTTATTCTCCAGCTCACTCCAGTTGCTGCTGACTCTGTGAGGAGCTGCACCACTTCCACACTGGCAGGACCTTCTTCTACTAGTAGTTTCCATCCAACCAGAATAGATTTAAAAATCCTCATCTATGTTATTGTCCTGTATTTCTGCTCCAGTACCTGCAGCGGTCTGCTCTTAATTTTGTAGTGTGTCCTAGTTGCAATGAGTCTACTAGCATCAGCTGTTTGTTGTGAACGTTGGCATGTGAATTTAGGGTTCTTTATAAACATATTTAAAGTAAATTTATAACTCAATTATTTTGAGAGGTTACATGACACACAAATGATGTAAAAGTTCTCTATCGTGCTAATTTTCACTAAGAGTACTGTGTTAGGAAGAACAGCAAATAAAAACCCCAGATACTTAATGTCTCTTCATAGCCTTTAAGAAAAGTGTTTCTAACAAAGCAAAGTATGTTGTACTGAACTGAATATTTAATTTGTGATGATGCCTCCCATCTGAAACCAATTCAGTCCCACAACAAAATATCCAAAATAGAACTGTAAACAGGACTAACTGTAAACAAAAGTACTGTAAATAATTTGTCAATATTTTGAGAATGGATGTTTCCTGCTAGTCATAGAAAAAACAACACGTATATTTGCAGTTATTATTAATTTACCAAAGATTTTGCCCAAAAAAACTCACGAACCAATAAATCAGTTTAGTTATTGCCATCTATCCAGAAAGTATTTAGAAAAGGTGAACTTGTCACTGTGCTTTTGAAAAGATTACATGATTTTGTTTTTAATTGAAAAATACTGCATGTCATCTTTTTGCAGAGCATTTACTTTTTTTACAGGATCACTAGTGGAAATAACTTAGGACCCCATCTTCATTTACAAGGTTGTCTTCTGATGTATTTTAAACCTAATTTCCTGGACTTATATTTCCAGGAGTGGTACAGATAAGTTGCCTAAGGCTTGAGGAAAAACCAAAATGTATACAAAACACAGTAACTTTCTGGCTGTTCTCATGGCTATACCAGAACTTTCCATTTTTTTTCTGGAATTGTGATCTACATGGAAGTAAGAGAATAGGAGAGGGGATCATTGATGGGCTTTGTGTTCCTGCAAGCACAGTGGAAGCCCAAAGCTGGGTATCCCTGTGCTCAGGGGGACGCTTCTTCAAGGCAATCCCAGTGGTATCTCAAATACTTTCGCTCTCATGCCACACACAAAAACTCTCATAGCACCAAGAAAATGCTTAGCTTGATATCATCTGTGTTTTGGCAGTATTGCCAGAGAGCAATAAAGTGACGGGGCCCTTTATGTGCAGGGTTGCATCCTTATCCTGCAGGGTCTGTGCAGCCACCATGCCAGCTTCATGGACCAGCTTTTCCCGCTGTGGATCACACCATTACAGGAAAACATCTGCAGCGTCTCTATGGCGTATGAGGACAAGCCCAACCAGTGTTATGATTTTGTGCCCTGCTTTCTGCTTAATGAAATAAATCAGATCTGGGAGGTACCCAGTGTTTGGCTTGAGAGATTAACCGTAGGCAAAATGAGCAAAGAATGCAAGCCTCAGAACATATTTACATACTTCATAATACAGAAATTCTGTAATGAATAAAGACCTGGCACTATCCTGATGGAGGACATTCTGGTGGATTTTACTTGCAAACAAAAAGTGTGTGATAGAGTGCCATGTGGACAAAATACCGCAATTAAAAATCTATTTGAAATCCATTCTCAAGATGGAATTCAATTTGATTCAAATAGTGCTGCCCTAGGTTTGACCCCTCTCTAGTATATTTGACTAAATGGTTTTAGATAATTTGCTGCATTACTTTAAATTAGTTCAAGTGTTCCTCATAGTAAAGGAATACAATTATCTGTTGGCCTTTTATTTAAATTGGTAATTCAGTTTATGGCAAATTAATATCAAGATTTTAGAACTGTAACACCGTATAAAATAACATCTTACATCATCTTTACTGGTGACATTTACAATGTATATTATAGATTTTTAACCTTTATTTTCTAGGCTGCAGTACACCAAAATCTCCAGAGTTTTGAGGAAGGATTACATAGTTAGATACGATATCTCAAAAAGAATAATCCTGATAAGCTGTGAGAATGGCTGTCATACACCTTCAGGAACAACATTAGGAAAGAAGTTTTCTTGCTTGCAAAAATGTTATTGAGTGTGTAAGAAATACTAGGTTGGACAGTAAACAATGGGATTAATGTTTTAAATACATAGGAATGGTGATAAAATGGAAGTGATCAGGATTTTTCTTTCTTTCCTGAAATGGTTTTCCCATCAGAAAATATCAGTTTTCAACATCTCAAAGCAATGTATCGGTTTCAATAGGAGGGAGGAAGGCTAATCAGTAGCACAGCTGGGACATGGTGGACTGAGGTTGTGTTTCACTTTGATTCTGAGCTACGATATTCTGACAAGTCTGTCTTTCTTATCTACATATAATGGATAAGCTTTTGCAGGAGAAAAATGCATTTCTACATGATGTAAATTGCTCAATTAAAATCAGTCACTGCAAACCAAACAGGCATAGTCAATCAATTTGTACAGATTGATATGCTACAGTACTCTCACACTCTGTGTTTAAAATAAAGACCCTAGAAATTTCCCTTTTAGTGTTTTACCACTTGCAACCTGTCTTGGAGAGACATTTTATAAGATCTGATTAGCTTAGTTGCATATTTCATGATTTTCTTTGCTGCTAAGTTTGCTTACATTAATGCAAATTATTTAAATCCCACCTTGGACATGGACTGAACATGTAGATGGACAAGCTTTTCAAGGTTTGCAGACAAACATTCAAGGAAACATGACTAGACTAGGGGCATGTGGATTCCTCTTTGATTTGTAAACAAATCATTTATGGACAGGAAGATCCCAAAGTAAGCTCCACTTTCCTTGCATAATTGTCCTATTAAGATTACAGGCAAGATGGCTTTTTATATGTGGGCCTGACCCAAGATACATAAATCAATACTATTTCTTATTAAAGAATCCTCACCTCTTCTTCCCAAAACTTATTTACAGGACAAAGCAGATAACATTTCTAACAATATCAGTGCTGTACACAACCAAATGGATTTTAGCCAAGCATTCTCCAAGGTAACTCATTATGAATCAATATATTCTTCCTCATAGCGCTCATATACTATCACCTCTAAGGAGATAGTGTGAAAAACATGGAATTTAAGGCATTTGTTAGGGTTCTTATTCTGTCTTTTTTATATAATAAAATTGTCTACACTGAATCAGGGTAAGTGATGCTCAGGAACTGATTTTTTTTTTAGATGAGTCACTATTTTGGGTGTGAAAAACATGGAATTTAAGGCATTTGTTAGGGTTCTTATTCTGTCTTTTTTATATAATAAAATTGTCTACACTGAATCAGGGAAAGTGTTGCTCAGGAACTGATTTTTTTTTAGATGAGTCACCATTTTGGGTTACAATCTTCAAATCAGAATTACCAAGGAGGATAACCTGAGTGTGTTGCTGATGTCACATTTTTTCCTGTTTGACTGTAAAATGCACAAATAGTGACTGCAGGTTTGGGGGGAACTGGAAGAGCTAATACCTCTAACAGGAATCCAGAGGATTCAAGCTTTTCATTCAATCCATGTAGAAAAGTCAGGCCAACTAAAAAGCATTTTGGACTTCAGTCACTTGATGAATTTGCTGTAAAGCGTTAATGTATATTTTGTATGATTGATGTGACTGACTTATTTACCTGTCAAGCATGTCTAACTCTTTGCGCTGTACAGCTTTAGGAACCAAAGATTTAGCAAAAATATGTGAAGTTAAAAAATATTCAGATTTATGGCTCACTCTGTTTGCCAATGAATTCAATTTTAAAATTATAACCAAGGACAACTCAAGGGAGCTTTCAAAAGAGACTGAGGTACTTTGCCATTCACGCTGATCATCTGGGGTTGCATTTTTCTCTGCGTGTTGACTTGATGATTTGAAGTCAACAGTCAGTAGTCGTCAGAAAACAGTGGCAATGAGCAGTGTCCTTCAGTCAACCCATGCTTAATCTCTTCTACTCTCAGATCATAGTGACTCCAGATTTGATTAAAATTCACAATTGGAATATTTAAGTTTACTAAAACTAAATTTTATTAATTACTGAAGAACTTATTCAATAAGTAAGCTACTACACTAGTAAGCACTCTAGGGATAAACAGAGGTTTACTTAAACAAGGTTATCCCTTCGGCCACCAGAGTCTTTATATGCAGAGCTATATAT